ACATGACTAAAGTATTCTAAAGTCTGATAGTCTAAGACTGCAGTAGGACCTCCATAGTTGACCACCTCCTTAAGTTGACGTAATTTCTATAGACCAGACATGCATCACCTGCACTTATCAGTACAGCAGGGCCATTTCCTTATGTTCATCACCTCCATATGTTGACCAGGTTGTTGCAGTTCCTTGGGTGGTCAACTTACAGAGGTTCTGCTGTATTTCTTGAAGACTCAGACGGCATGGGAAGTGAGGGTGAAGTTTACAATCGGCAATTGGTAAAATAATGCCTTGGAGGTCAGATCCAGCAAATCTTCCCTGTATCCTAACTTTTCCAAATCATATCCTAAAACTGATCCCACCTCAAAGCCTGAAACTGGACAGGCCACTAATTATCCCCACCTTTACCTGCTGCTTAGGACTTCAGAAAATAAAGGAATGAACCTAAGAAAGGAAACTTCTCTTATGTGCCTTTCTGGGACGTCAGTTAGAGACCCTGAAATTTTGCTGACTGTAGTAGTCACTTCTACAGAGTGTTGGGTATCTTGCTTGTCACCTAGGATCTGGACACTGGGAAAGCCAGGGCAAAGCCAAAAGGTCACCAGCAGAAGTGAAGGTGTTGGCTTGGCACCTATAGCTCAACTGGCTAAGGCACCAGCCACAGCTACTTGGGAGGCTGAGGCAAGAGAATCACTTAAGCCCAAGAGTTGGAGGTTGCTGTGACGTCACGGCACTGTATTGAGGACTACAAGGTGAGACTCTGTGTCAAAAAATTTAAAAAGAAAGAAATAGATCCACACCCCAATTTTCTCCACCCTGTCTGTTCCAGTGACACGCTGACAGTAGGTACTTTTGTGTGTCGCTGCCTTTCTCGCATAAAAGAGGGTCTTGTATTTTGCAACAGCTAGCGGTAAAATTGAAAAACTCTGTAGTACCCAAGGAGTGCTTGTGACCCTGTCCTGTCTTTGGTTCTTGTTCTAAGTGACCTTGGATATTTTCTCTGTGAATCCTTTTGCTCCTAACTAAATTTCCTTGAGGGCAAAGATGGCAGCTTTTAGGGCAGCAATTAAGTTTTTTTCCTTTCTGGCTTCATTCAAAAATACCTGCTGAGGCCACACTCTAGGAGGCCCAGGTGGGAGGATCCCTTGAGGTCAGGACTTCGAGACCAGCCTGAGCAAGTGTGAGACTGACTTCTACTAAAAATAGAAAAATTAAGGGGACATTATGTTTGCATCCGTCATCCCAGCTATCGGGGAGGCTGAGGCAGGAGGCTCCCTTGAACCCTGGAGTTTCAGGCTGTTGTGAGCTAGGCTGACTCCACGGCACTCTAGGTAGGCCAACAGAGCAAGACTCTGTCTCAAAAAAAAAAAAATTAAAAAGTAATAATAAAAAGGAAGCACTTTGGAAAGAAAATCCCGCAATAAACAGAAGCCTGGTAACTATTTGCTAATTACTTGAACTAGTAAAAAGACAGGTCACTCATTTCATCTCCGCAATCCCCTGAGTTGTCTTCAGTATTATATTATAGTTTGCAAGATACCCTTAAAGTGCATAGTCGCTTTCGATCTTCACAGATCTTCACAATAGTCCTATGTGGCAGGCAGGGCTTGTTTGAACATTGCTGTTTTCAAATTACAGAACTGATTTAAAAAGAGTTGTCCCACGTCACACAAACAGGTTACAGAATCAGGTTTTGTGTCCTGGCTCACAGGTTCCAGGTCAGTGTTTTTGTTATGTTT